TATATAAGGTAAGAGAATATCTTTACAATATTCTGTAACACTCCCCCTCAAGCTGGAGCATAGATATTGATCATGCCCAGCTTGTTGCATAGATAATTAACTCGAGCTCCATTTAGTGCCTTTGTGAACAAATCAGCTAGTTGCTCTCCGGTCTTCACATAGCCGGTGGAAATCAAGTTTTCCTGAATCTTCTCACGTATGAAATGACAGTCAACCTCAATATGTTTAGTTCTTTCATGATACACCGGATTCGAGGCAATATGAAGAGCAGCTTGATTATCACACCAAAGTTTTACTGGTGTACGATGTTTCAATCCAATTTCAGTTAAAAGATTGTGTATCCACATAATCTCACATGTAGACTGTGACATAGCTCTGTACTCAGATTCAGCACTAGATCGAGTACAACATTTTGTTTCTTGCTCCTCCATGATATTAAGTTTCCTCCAACGAATACACAATAGCCTGTAGTAGACCTTCTATCAATTTTGGATCCAGCCCAATCAGCATCGGCAAAACACTCAACACGAGTATGTCCATGATTATTATACAATAAGCCGAGTCCAGGAGCTCCTTTCAAGTAACATAGAATTTGTTCCAAAGCTGCCCAATGTATGACTGTAGGTGCGGACATGAATTGACTAACAATACTTACAGCAAATGCAATATCTGGACGAGTCACAATGAGGTAGTTTAACTTCCCAACTATCCTCCTGTATCTCTCTGGATCATTAAAAGGATCACCATCATCTTTCATAAGATGCACATTGGGAATCATTGGAGTATTGCAAGGTTTTGCTGCCAACTTTCCAGTCTCTGCAAGTAGGTCAAGAATATACTTTCTCTGAGATAAAAGAATTCCATTCTTGCTTCGATTTACTTCTACTCCTAGAAAGTATTTTAACTGTCCCAAGTCCTTCGTATGAAATCTCATATGCAGGAAAGACTTGAGGGATGAGATCCGTGCATAATCACTTCCTGTAACGACAATGTCATCTACATATACAACAAGGAGGACAATGCCAGCGGTTGATTGTTGATAGAAGACTGAGTGATCACATTTGCTCATTTTCAAACCAAACTCTTGAACCACCTCACTAAACTTTCCAAACCAAGCCCGGGGGCTCTGTTTCAAGCCATACAAAGACTTCTTCAAATGAAAGACTTTCCCATACTCCCCCTGAGCAACAAAACCAGGTGGTTGCTCCATATACACTTCCTCTTGAAGATCACCATGAAGGAATGCATTTTTGATATCCAATTGATGTAAAGGCCAATTCTTGGAAGCCGCTAGAGAAATGAACAAGCGGACAGAAGTGAGTTTGGCAACCGGAGAGAAGGTGTCTAAATAATCCACCCCGTAAGTCTGAGCATACCCTTTAGCCACAAGTCTTGCCTTAAGTCTTGCCACAGAACCATCGGGATTAACTTTAACGGTAAAGACCCACTTACATCCTACTGATTTCTTCCCTTCGGGTAAATTCACCAAATCCCACGTGTGGTTTTCCTCTAAGGCATGTATTTCCTCAAGCATTGCATTAGACCATCCCGTATGACTCAAGGCCTCTTTCACTGTTTTGGGTACAGAGATGGAGTCTATAGAAGCAATCAAAGATCTAGAAGTGGAGGACAAGCGGTCATAGGAAACAAAATTAGCAATTGAATATGTGGATTTGCAAGTACGTGTACCTTTACGAAGAGCAATAGGGAGGTCAATGTTTTCAGAAGCATCAAGCAAAGGAGGATCTGATGATGAAGAAATTGGTGCAGGACATGCATCACCAATATCTCTTCTCCTTGAGTAAACTTGAACAATTGGTGGTTTTTCTAGCGCAGATGGAGCAGGTGGTAAAGGCACAATCCTCGATTGATGTTCAATAGGAGAACTGGGAGATGGAGAAACAGAATGGGTAACCTGATAGACTAACCATTCATCTTCTTCCTCATGACTCGTACAAATGGGAGGTGCATAGAAAAATGGTGTAGTCTCTGAAAATTCCACATCATTTGATACCAGATATTTGCCAAGTTCAGTAGAATAGCACCGATACCCCTTCTGAAGGCGAGAATATCCCAGAAAAACACACTTCAATGCCTTGGGATCCAACTTGGTAACAGATGGTCGAACATCTCGAACATAACATGTGCTTCCAAATACCTTAGGTTCCACCGGATATAATGCCTTGTTTGGAAAAAGAACACTATAAGGCATATCACTATTAAGCACAGTAGATGGTATGCGATTAATCAGAAAACAAGCTGTTGAGACTGCATCGGCCCAAAATTGTTTAGGCACCTTCATTTGGAATAAGAGGGCCCGAGCTGTCTCAAGTAAATGTCTATTCTTCCTCTCAGCAACTCCATTTTGAGAGGGTGTGTCAACACATGAAGACTGATGAAGAATACCGTGTTGTCTCATGTAGGACCAAAATAATTCTGACATGTATTCTTTAGCATTATCACTCCTCAGAATACGCACAGAAGCATTAAATTGAGTCTTGATTTCAGCACAGAAGGCACCAAAGTGAGTAAACACTTCGGAGCGACTTTTCATAAAATAAATCCAAGTCATTCGAGAGAAGTCATCCACAAAAGTGACAAAATACTTGTGCCCAGTTTTGGAGACGACAGGACATGGTCCCCAAACATCAGAATGAACTAACTCGAATGCCGACTCGGCTCGCTTATTAACCCTTGGACCAATTGAGTGACGATGATGTTTTGCAAACCGGCATGACTCACATTCCAATGATGGAATATTCTGGAATTGAGGGCAGAGCTTCTTCAATAGAGGTAGAGAAGGATGTCCCAATCGACAATGTGCTTCAAATGGAGACATGACACTAGAGCAAGCAACTGATCGAGACTCCCATTCATCAAGGATGTAGAGATCATCAGATACATGTCCTTTACCAATAACCTGATTTGTCGTAAGATCACGAAACAAACAATGATCGGGGAAGAACGAGATATAACAATTAAGGTCTCTTGTAACTTTGCTAACAGAAATCAAATTAAAGGCCAACTTTGGTAGATTTAATACAGATGACAGAGTAATAGTTGAGGTTGGTTTAACAGTCCCAAATCCAACACTGTTACAAGTTGATCCATCAGCTACAGTAACGGGAGAGGGTGCTTTGTGTGATCGAAAGCTAGAAAAAATATTGGGATTACCTGTCATATGATTTGTGGCCCCTGAATCAATCACCCATTTATTTGATGAAGTAATAAGACATGTTTTATTCGACTCAGTGAAGGCATTTACTGAAGTGGATTCCTTAAATGATTTCTGGTATTGAGAGAATTTAGCGAACTCTTTAGCCGAAACCAAAACCATTTTATCAGCTAATGGACTAGAAGCCATCATTTTCCCAACCAATATATTCACTGTATCAAAATAAATCGATAGAAAATCCTCCAAAACTAAAAAATTACCCAAACTAGGTGGTGTCTACCGGACACAGCTACACAATCCAGTAAATCACTTAAACAGATCACAGAACTATCACAAAATTGAAGCCCTAACCAGCAAGTATCAGCCAACAAATATGAAACACAAGATGACAACTGGGGAATCAACTCCAACACTTCACTCGAAAGATCGAATCTTCTCAAATAAAAACAAAAAACTCAAACAGGTCTCAAACAAACAAAGGACTAATCTGATCCCTCATTTAAAATTCTGCTCACCCAAATGAAAATAGTAGATCCTTTGAGAGAAATAACCACTTACAGATCAGAGAAACGATCAGAGAATGGAAGCAAAAATGAATGATCACACCAGATCTAATCAAGAGCACCACAAAGTATATAAGCCAGAAAAGGCAGGGAAACGTCGGAGACGACAAGAAAGTTGGACCGAAACGGAGTCTGGTGAGGCAGTAAGCCTAACTCCGACGAAGCCAATGATTTGGCTCTGATACCATGTTATTTGAAATATGAGAATAGAAGAACTTGTATTTCACTATGTTAAGAAGTACATGTATATATACAATCACTAGAGGTTCTATCAAAGGTAAGTAAATATCCTACACATCTCTCTATGATTTAGCTAGCTATATAAGGTAAGAGAATATCTTTACAATATTCTGTAACAAAGAAAATGAAAAACATAACTTAGAATGCAAAGTTAAATAAACAATAATAAAATTGATATCTTACCTTTTTCCTTATTTGTTCCAAGAGAGAATCTCTTTCATCAACCTTCGGTATTTCAGGCATGGCCCGCTCTGTAACCTTCCTCAACTGCAAGAGAGAATCTTTTTCATCAACCTTCTGTATTTCAGGCCTAGCCCGCTCTGTGACCTTCCTCAACTGCAAGAGAGAATCTTTTTCATCAACCTTCTGTATTTCAGGCCTAGCCCGCTCTGTGACCTTCCTCAACTGCAAGAGAGAATCTTTTTCATCAACCTTCTGTATTTCAGGCCTAGCCCGCTCTGTGACCTTCCTCAACTGCAAGAGAGAATCTTTTTCATCAACCTTCTGTATTTCAGGCCTAGCCCGCTCTGTGACCTTCCTCAACTGCAAGAGAGAATCTTTTTCATCAACCTTCTGTATTTCAGGCCTAGCCCGCTCTGTGACCTTCCTCAACTGCAAGAGAGAATCTTTTTCATCAACCTTCTGTATTTCAGGCCTATCCCGCTCTGTGACCTTCCTCAACTGCAAGAGAGAATCTCTTTCATCAACCTTCTGTATTTCAGGCCTAACCCGCTCTGTAACCTTCCTCAACTGCACAACGATTCAAATTTCAAATTTTAGAGACGTGAAATTTACCAACACTGCAATCTCCAAGTTTGACCAAAATGAACCAAAACTTACTTTGCTTTTGTCATGCGCAGCAAGATCATCAATTAATGGAGTTCGTGGTCTTTGTAGTTTCACTATACGAATCTCATTAGTGTTTCCTTCCTCCACAGCTGGCCAAATAATTTCTGCCTCTGTAGTTGGAACGCTATGATCAGGCGTTGCACTTTCTGTATATGATGGGATAACAGTACCATGAGTCACCACATTTTTCTCCAAACTTGTGAGGGTCTCTTCAAGATTGGATTTGTTTAAGCAAGTCTCCGGTGCTAACTGATGGAGAGGTTGATGCTGGGGCTGGGATGGTTCATGGAATAATGACTCAGAAGCATCTGTAATCACTGTATCTGTAGGAAGTGCTTTTGGCTTTATTCCATCACTAACTGGTAGAGGCAGATTCCCTTCCAAATGAGCAGAGCCTTGTTTCTCCGGAAGCAATTCTGGAGCGACTTGGTTCTGTCGTTGTATGAGTACTTCACTTGAACCCAAAACATCAATAGAAGGTTTATCCAGAGAAGTTACATCTGGGATCCAATTAATAGGCTGTGCCTCCCCCCTTCTTATAGCATGCAAACTAGGCAGCTGCACCTCATGATATTGACCTGCCAATGGAAAGTGAGTTTTTGTGGAGTGTTTATCAACTGGATCAATAAACCTAATACTACTGTTTCCACCAAGAACTGTGGGTGGCAAAGTTAACAAACCTGATTGTGCCACGCTATCAGCAGAATACATATCAATAAGTTCTGAACTCTCTGTAGCTACAGCTGACAGCATGTTTTGATTCACAGGTTGAGCATTCTGATCAGTCCTAGATGCCAGACTTGATTGATTGTCACCTATATAATGCTGTGTTGGATCCCCGTCCAAATCTGGGGAAGAATGTAGTTTCCCCATCCTCCATTGAATTGGAGGAAGAGGAGGCAATGGGGGCATTTCTGCCAGACTGATCTGAGGTTCATCGGGAAGCAGGGAAAAGCCAGGAGAGGTAGAAATATTCCCGATTTCAAAAGGATTGACATTATGACTGCTGAGAGGTAAGGGATTTGAAACCGAAGATTGACTAGGAACATTTACTATAAATGGTACCAAAGAAGCATCGAGGGCTCCTACTATGTCAACATGATTGGAGAGGCGTGCCTCTTCAAATTGAGGTAACAGCACCTCTTTAGCTGTATCTTCATCTATCACTCTCTCGTTATCTGGTACTTTAGATGCTATCTCTTCATCTTTTTTGTACAAAGATGACAAACTATCTTGGTTGCTCTGTGATAAAAGCTCGGGGAATGAAGGATGACTGGGGCCCACTGTTTGTGAAGATATTGAAGAAGCTTCAGCAGATTGTTCAATGTCAAAGCAATCTACCAGTTGTGACTGGGTTAACTGAGGTAATGGCTCTGACTTTGCCTCACCATTATCCAGCACTTCCCTTTTAACTTGCTCATGAATGGTTGACTCAGCCCTCTCTTCTGCACAGTAACCAGTTAGCAAAGGTTGAGGAACTTGATTGCTGTTGTGGGCGAAAACATCTGGGATTGCATCTTGACTCGGAAGGTTTGCCAGAAAAGATAGGGAAGACGCATCAGACGCTTGGTCAACATGACTTTGTATCTTCTCCAAATGAGGTGATTGGTCCAAATCAACTTTGTGCAGCAACTCCTCATTGGGTTGATTGTCTTCTAATTCATCCTTTCCTTCTTCCGGAGAAATTTGCAAAGATGAGGCATCTTCAGTGGAATCGGCAACATTCCTCCTTCGGGAGAGTACCTCTTCAGTATCCAAGCACCAATTTTTTAATGGTGCTTGGCTTGGAGCAGTGCTCGAGTCCACAGTGTTTTCAGCATCAAACGAGAGTTCGCTTCCAGAGAGAGTATCGAGAACTGCTGACTCGGGATGATGACAGTTGGATGTATCAAGCACAAAGGAGTTAGACTCTGGGGTATCAGCTCTCTGTATCATAAACTTTGATTCTGCATGACTATTAGGTAGATCAATTTCCAATTCATTCTGGCCGGAATGTCCAATTGAGCACACAGATTCTTCTGAAAATAATTTGTGATCTAAAGATGAGCTTAGATCATCAAAATTTTCCTTATCAGCCAAGGCAGCAAGAGGTGAAGCTGTCTCATCTGTGACATCAGACTTATCTATCTTATTTACTGTCTCATCTGACAGTATTCCTTCATTGGTCAATGATTTGAGATGTGGAGAGGTAATTGAACCAGTGGACACAGTTCCAGACAAAAGCTCACTGGGAGCAATACTACCCTTTTCATCATTTTTTGTTAAACTCGAAACTTCAACAGGATTTTCCTGCCTAGAACATGAAATATCCAATTCTCCAGATTCAAGTGGCTGAATATCAGTTGCAATTTCTGAAGTCTGAGGGTTCAGCACGTCAACAAAATCGAGGCCATCTCCCCCACAGTTCGTACTGAGGTCCCCTGGCTCAGACATAACTGCATCGCTGAATGCCCCACATGTCTCTTCACAATCTTTATCTGTATTACCAGCTTCAATATCTTTGGTACTGATGTTATGTGGCTTCATGCATGCATCTTCTGCAATTTCATCATGAGACATGGTAAAGTGTTTGCCACAATCTTTATCAGAAGCACCCAATACATCCAGTATCTGAACTGAACCAACAGAACTACCATTTGAATTCTCATTGTCTAGACCATCATCCACATGGTTTGGATGGTTTACAGCCAACAATGAAGGTGAGGTATCACCTTCTTCCGATGAAGGACAATTAGGAAGATTATATAAGGAGGCTGAATCATCACCTACCGATGGATCCTCACCATCCAAATTGGGTAACTGTTGATAATCAGAAGACAGCACTTCACGTCTGTCTTCAGAAGGAACGTTAAGGAGCTCAGATGTAAAGGGAAGATTGTTAACCAGACTCGCATCATCATTATATAAATTGATCTCATGCTGGATTTCAGGAGATTCTGACTCTGGCATGTTATCTCTGGCGTGACAAGGAACATCAGAATGACTTGAACAAGACACATTTTCATCTAGCCTCAAATTTCGATCAACCAAACCATCTGTTAGCTTGACGTCAATGGATGCTCTAGATGGTGAATCATCTCCATTCCGTTCTGGAGCATCAAGGATAACAGGAGCATGGGGTAGACTGACATGCAAACTTGATGCATCTTCTGCAATGGTAGTTAAAGGATCTTCACTCTTGCCATGAGTGACGAAATTTTCATTTGTTTCAGCTCTCATCCCTGCAACTTCAACAAATATTTCTGTATAAGCATGTATCAGCATAGGAGTTGAATCTGTAAAGTTTAAGGTAGTAGTTTTCTCACCAGAGTCACAACTGCCACTGGGTTCCCTAGCTACTGTAATGCATTTTCTATCATAAACACTGTCTTCTGGAGGCTGGGGTAATTGAGTCTCCTCATTAACATATTGCTGCTCACATGAAGTATCAGAGGTCTTAGCTCCCTTACTAGAAATTTCGCTCTCCAAGAGGACACTCTCAACAGAAGTGCTAGGGGAATCAGAACAAGAAAAACTAGATATTTCTTTCTTAGAATAACTATTCCCGTCATCAGATAATGTAGAGTTCTCAATTGAATGAGAATCTGAAGATTGAGTTTGAAGCTTTTCACTGCTAGAAGACAGACATAGCACTTGCTTTTTGCTGTTCAAGAAGTGCAAATCCCTTCTGTCTCTCTGCTCAGAGTCTGTTTCTAATTCTGCCTCCATTGTAGTTAGGGCATCAACGTAATTATCTATTTCACTAGCAACATCATCAGACTCATAACCAATACCTTTTTCTGTTCGGCTTTCTCCATCCACTGTTATTTCCTTTTCATCAACCACGCTATGAATAGAAGGCAAGATATCAGTTGTTTGTGATTTATGGCTTCGTCTGGAAATTCCTCTTACACGATAGTGGGAGAGATCCTCATTGACTTCATCTAAGCATGGTCTTAGACTATTATTCTCTTCACTTTGTGGTGGAGATGGCGATAAAGATGCTCTCTTGTTTCTCCGCATCACCTCCTTATCAGGACTCGGTGGTCTAATATCTTCAGTGTCCGCCAAAGTTTCATAGGCATCAGTCGATGGCAATCTCAAAGGTGATGAGTCAATACCGACTTCATGGACTACTTTATGTTCTGGTGAAGAAGCCTCCAAGAACTTATTCATATAGCTTTTCCCAGTTTTTGGGTCAAATGGAAATCCATTCAGCTTTCTTTTCAATTTCACACGATGTGCAGGAACATTTATACCGTTTTCAATGCGTTCCTCCAAGAACAGCTGATGGAGTCTGTAGAAACGTGAGGAACACAGAATAAGATACTCAACTAGAACAATCATAATACATATTTTTTACACTAGGCATCAAGGATCTCACTTGGCATGTGATGTAGGCAACACCTCAGGTGTCTCCCCATTCCTCCAGCGTGAACCTCTCTTCTGCAACAGCAAGATGAAAAAATATTTTGAAGCACCAGAAAGATAATGCAACTTCATCATCACTGATATTATTACTGAAAAGAAGCTGCTTGCTGATGGATGAAACAGTAAGAACCCTCCAGAAACAGTAGCCAAGATGGAAAGACTATGCTTTAGCAAACCCCAATTTCCTTGGGCGAAAACTTCTTATTAAGAATGCAGGTTTTCTCTACTACGTTTAGTGAAAGTCATCGTTCTGCCTATATGCTAAAGCTAAAAGAACTCCTCTAATCTATAACAGACATCAGATGCCTCCTAGCTGAAAAAATAAGCATATTAGGATACACAACTTTGCTCAAGTAGCAAATAATAGATTCACTTCTCAGTAAAGGTGTCAAGTTAAAATTAAACATTTTAGGGGCCAAGATCAGTTTGCTCCTTTTTCCCTTACACTTTTCTGGGTCAAGATGGAGCTATGAGGGGATGGTTTCAGAAAGCTTCAAGAAGGAGATAGACAGAGACTCAAGCAAATAAGCACATGCTACCACATGAAGAAATAAGTGTTCCAAGTAATTAGAAGAAAGTATCAAGGACTTATCATAATACCACTAATAACCTTCCCCAATTGTATCCCGAAGAAAAAGAAAAAATGTCATCTCAAATATCAAGCCATGGAAAAACCACTAAATCAACATGTCACTCATATAAATTCCAAAGTAAACCAAAAGGTTGCAGAGAAACAGGAGTAATAGTTTCTCTTCTTTTTAATTACCTTTGTCTTGCGAGTTTTCTTTTCCCTCTGAACATCTGAAGTTGTGAATGCATAAGAGGATGTCTCGACTTTAAAGGATGACGGGTCAGTATAACGTTTCAGACATGCTCCAGCTCCAGCAACATCAAACCTGTTACAATACATTAAGTTTGACAAACGCTGTTCTAACGAAGTTTGACACTCTATGTAATTAAAGCTGTTAAAAAAAGAACATACTTGTCTAGAAGAAACAAGCGAGGTGGACCTCTGCATTCTTCATATGAATCCATCACAAATCGAGGTAAATCTCCCCTTGTAACCATATTTTGGTCGATTCGCAGATTAGGATGCCAATCAGTACCTGAAATAACATTTGTATTACTAATACTTTCACTCATAGGTTATATCAAAACTCAATAAATTGCTTAAATACTAATATCCATTTTTTTCAAATGCAGAAACACTAATATTCATACACACCACATTCTATGTTCAGGAAAATAAAAAACAAATATTCCTTTGTATGCTCTCTCTCTCTTTCCCTCTTCTCTACACACACAAATGCACCACAAACATGTATAAAACAGTTAGGAAGGACAGTATCTTTTGGTACAGAATTAAGAAGAAGCAAGAAGAGTTTATCAAAGTGCACAAAAAAAGCAAGTATACTAAGTTGTCCAGAATTTCTATGGTGTTATTGGCCAATGAAATACTCTTAGCACTTACCAGCATTATAGAAGAAAGACGAATGATTGGTCTGTGAGAGGAATGCCCTCTCAATCAAAGGAAAATCAGCTTCAAGCTGCTTGACCCTGGCCGTTAGACTATGACCTCTTGCAGCAGTTGCCATCACTTCTTCATGCAAGTCATGGAATATCTCAGCAGCAAACCTTCAATTTTACAATAAACAAGAAAACCAACATTTTAGTCGCTACCACAATTAAACAGAACTTCAACTGCAGTACATTCTTTACAAAATAAAGTGATCAGGAATCACTTACAGGGAGAAAGTGTATAAGCAAAGAGACCCATATTTGGCACCACATTTTAATGATACTACCAAATATTTATGCCTTGCAATTAATTGATCAGCAACTAAATAGATTAAGCTCTACATACTCTGAACATTTTTTAACAAGCATACAACAACAACAACATACCCAGTGAAATCTACAAGTGAGGTTTGGGGAGGGTTAAATCATAAATGTACGCAGACCTTACCACTACCTCGTGGAAGTAGAGAGGTTGTTTCCAAAAGACCCTTGGCTCAAATGCAACAAATCCAGATACAAAGAAGAAAGAGACAATGAAAAGAATATAGCAAGTAACAAGGAAACAATGCAAAGTCTACCAGAAAGGAGCCAAAAAAACAATTAAGTAATGTGATAATCGAAACACAATAAATAACATACTAGGATAGATTATTGCGAACTACAATAAACAATGATAAAAATAAAAAAACAAGAACTACAATAATATAACTAGTATCATGGCAAACATTAGTTATCCTAAGCAAGACAGCAGTACACTATACTCACCTTCTGCCCTAATACATGTCTCCACACCCTCCTATCTAAGGTCATATCCTTGGTAACCTAAAGCTACGTCATATCCTGTCTTATCACATTTCCCCAATACTTCTTCCCTCTCCTCGTACCCTCTATAACCAACCTCTTACACCTCTTCACTGGTGCATCTACACGTCTCCTCTTCACATGTCCAAACCATCTCAATTCCTCATCTTCTAAGAAGCATAATCTAGTTGAATGATTCAAATAATAAAAAGAGAGGAAAACTCCGTAAGAATTTACACAGAACAGAACTACTTGTAAATGCTAAATCAAACAGCCGAAAAAAGCAACAAAAAAAAAAACAGTCACATTCTACAAATGCATTAATTGTCAAAAAAACAAAAAAAAAACATTCTACAATGCAATCCAATAACAATTCAAATAATTTACTCACAAATTCAAATTTCCATTTTCAATAACTACAACGCATCTTCTAACCACCAAGTTTCAATAGATTTTAATACTGAGTATCACAACTCACATATTTCACTATATCGATCCAAAATTACGAAATAAAGGTGGATTTGAAACACAAAAATCCAGAGAGCATTCACTTGTAAAACGACAAAATTCTAAAAGGAAAAACGCATCAGAAAAAATCGAAGCAAGAAAAACAAAAAGGAAGATACTGACTCGGCGAGGTCACCAAGCTGACGCAAAACACCAACAAGTCCAGCCATGGCAACCCCTTCAAGTAGAGCTTCTGGATCATCTTTATCAGCAGATTTGTACAGTTCCGGATCAGCCAAACTGTACTCGTTCCTAATCTGATACCTATTCACAGGCATTTTCAACAAAATCGAAACCCTAATTCATCATACGTTTTCTTCAAAATAGCAACATTACATTTTCGCCATTGAATTCATACACATGGTGTATCAATGGAGTCTCTGTATAGCTGTATCTTCGTTGGTAATTGTAGCTATAGAGAGAGAAAGAGTTGGAGGTGAATGTGAATGTGAATGTGAATGTACAGTTGAAAGAAGAGGTGAGGACTCAACAGAGAAGAGGGTCGGTTGACTATATTAAATACTCATTTCTACTTCTCTTTAATCACCGTTATTTAATTGTTTTTTAGATATTTTTATGACTTCTGTTGATTCATTTACGGGTATTTAATTTAATTAATTACCAAACAAAATTACCTACAATATAACAGGTAAAATATTGTCAACTAATGACATTTTCAAATATAAAATTTAAAATAAATTTACAAAACGATACAAAATATTCTGTTTTATCTTTATGTTTTAACTTTTAGACTATTTTTATTTTGTTGATATTTGATTATAAGATATTTTTGAGATAGTTATAATATGGGAATATAAATATCGAATAAATATATTAATTTGAATTACTATGAATTCTTAGATAATAAACAAAAATTGTTAATCGATAACATAATTAAATCTATAATTCATGTAATTTCATAATTTTTCTTATATAATTATTTGTTTTAAATATTTAGTTCCAACAAGCTATATCATTATTTAGATTATGAATAGAATTGAAGTTATAATTAAAGTTACTAACAGAAAATCAAAATAATCAATTACTATATAGGAATCATAAATTTGAAATTCTTATTTGAAATTACATATAACTTTTTTATTTTTTATTTTTGTTAGAATCTTATTTAAGTGTTGAATAGAACTGAGGTGATAATTAAAATCAGTTGTAGAAAATCAAAAGAATCAATTATGGTTAAATTAAAGAAAGTACTATATTATTTAATTAGATTAAAATGTAAATTTTATGTATAAAATTAAATATGAACTCCTCTTTATTTTTTAGTCATTGATAGTAGTTGAAAGCTTCAACTACGATTTAGTATAATTTCTTTTAAAATGTTTAACTAAAAAATATTAGTATAATTTATAATAATCTGTTTTAAAAACATTTGTGTTTGGTGACTAAAAATGTTGTTTCACTAATTATATTATTTTAATTCTTAAATTTATATTTTATACTTGTAAGTTGTATGTAGGAATATTTTTTTAAATATAACGTGGGAATTTTTGGAAAGGCAAAAACAAATAAAATATGGTATACAAGACGCGGCTGAGCTTGTCATGCCGTTTATTGTGGGCCTCCTTTGTTGTATTGGATCCTGCATCTAGTCACATCGCACGTATGTATTAGGACGGTGTATCGATCGGTTCGGTTTTAAAGTTTATCGGTTTAACTTATTGGTTATCGATTTGTAAAGATGTCAAATCGTTATAGAATAATTAATATATTAGTTTTTCGGTTATTGATTTATCGATTATTGATCGTTATCAGTTTAACCGTTAAGATTTGACACAAAAAAATTTTATCGAAAATCACGTAGAAACAAGGTGACAAACCAAATAAACCATGCACATGAGTACTTGATAAATTGCATCTTTCTAAAAAATAAACATTTTTACATTGTAGAATAGCCAAGAGTTTGAGACAACCAGAAATAAAAGTAGGAAACTAAACTATAATATAAGGAGTTTATATATAAAATGGTATAGATATAATTATTTAATTTACTATCGGGTTATCGGTTAATTTGTTAAGAAAAAACTTCAAACCGTTAAGAATCGATAACCAAAAAAAATCAAAACAGTTATTAAAACCGCTATATCAATAATCCATTACTAATAAACCAATAACTTTTTATAGATTCGAATTATCGATTTCGGTTCAATTTTGAACAGTTATGTACAATAACTTCTTTATTTTTCTCTTTATTTCGTAGCGTATGAATCCAACAAAATTTAATGCCCTGGTCTCAAAAAAATATTCTTTTCTGTTTTTGGTAACAAAAAGTTATGACTTATGAGGTTAAAAATAGGAAAAATTATGTAATTAGATAAATATGCCTACGCCATCTAATTTATTTAAGATGATGAATAAAAAATGGTACAAAAGATAATTTATTAAATAATTATGTTCGAACATAATTACGATCTAAATTAAGTAGATTTGTTAGTATTATTTTCTCCCGTTCGTCATTACATTCTGTATTAATAGTTCGTTCATGATTTACTCTAATGAACATGTTTTTCTAGTTCTCTTTTTCTCCATTGGAACAATGAGCAAACATTGTTATTATAATATTTAATTTCTAATTATTTGGATGGCAAACGATAGGAATGAGAATTAGCACAAGTTGAGTGTATGGTGGGGACCAAGTGTGATTGTTTTGGCTTTCATAAGGATTGTCATGTCTTCCATAAATTCATTAATTAAAACGGACATGTTCCAATGCCTCATTTATTTATCCTGACTTTGGGTGCACCAATATAATCAGAGACGAATTCATAATTTAAAGATTTTGGGTGCATTAATATAACTTTAGCTCAAATATGAGCTCTAAGCTAATCTTAAAATAAAAAGAACAAAAGGGCATTAAATCCAACAAAATTTAATACTCTTTCTATGTTGGTCAAATGTGTATCTTTAAGGCTAATAACTCATAAGGGTAAAATAGGAAGAATATTGTAATTTATGCATTGATTTTATGAAATGACAAGTATTATGGACCAACTATTTATAGTAAGGATGACATATAAAAAGGAACGGAAGGAGTATAGTACTTACTCATATTATATATTCCCTCTGTCCCTAATTACTTGTCCACCTTTCTATTTATAGTTGTCCCTAATTACTTGTACATTTTGACAAATTAAGAAAGAACAATTTTTTTTATCTATTATACCCTCAATTAAATGACTAATTACATTGAAAAATGCAGAACTTTTCATCCACTTCATAATTATTATGGGTAAAATGGTAAATTCACTATGTCATTAATTGATTTCTTAATAGGTGTGTCAATTCAAAAGTGGACAAGTAATTAGGGACAGAGGGAGTATTCTCCTGTTTAATTTTATTTAATCTTTATATTTAAAAAATAGATATTTCATGTTATTTGTCTATCTTAGCAAATTAAGAGAATTTTATTTATTACTTTTTCTTACTATTCGTTGGTTTAAATAACTATATAAAGTAGTAGCTAGTAGTTAAATTTAAAATTTCATAATATCATTAATAAAATTAATTCAATAAAAATATATCGATAATTAAAATTTTCTTTAAAAATATATCAAATCAATTGGAATCAAACATAACGCTAATTTCTTAAAAAATATGTCAAATCAATTGGAATCAAATACAGTGAATGTTGTGTATCATCCCGGAAAGATAATGACATAATAAAATTACGACAGCTAACATATTTGATTTGATATACTCATTCAATGGCCTAGTGACTAATAATGTGAATGTAATTAAATTTTGAGAACTAGAATTCAAGTCTTAACTATAATAAAGGGCATAAAATTATTTGATACCTTCATTGGCAGAAAATAGTACTCAATAGAATAATTTTAAATATTTTCTAGTCCAGTCATCATATTTATACAAAAACATATTTAATTTTTTATTGAAAAATATTTCAAATTTCAAATAAAATATAAGTGCTTATATATTGATAAGGTCGTCATGCGTTTAAAATTTATAAATAAAAATCATTTTTAATTAATCGTAATAATTGAAAAACTACTTAAAAGTTGAAATAGTGATAATTCTCTTCGTATTTGATTTGACAGTATTTATAAATGTTTAATGTGGAGGCCACTAACTTTGTTTTTTTTTTTTTAAATGGCGTCTGATTTTTGTATTAGAGCCCGATTAAATTTAGATTTGTGCATTGCATGATTCAGAGTAACGCTCCCAACAAAAAACATTCCATTTTTAAAATCTCAAACATAAGACTTCTGATTAACGGTGAAGGAATTTCAATCATCTCATCATATCCATCCATGTTGATACTAAATTGTAATAAATAGAAAACTTGTATGGTTCTTTCTTGCGAAAGATTTTTTTGTTGTTGTTAATTTAAGGTTGGTTGAATGTTGGTGGAACATCCTTTGATGAAAGATAACAGAAATGAATTGACTAGCAAGCTACATAAATATTGAAAAATTAAGGAGAGAAAAAAAACTCTCCAACTCCAAAAGGAAGTACATATATACTCCCTCAATCCTTATTTACTTGTCCATTTCTTATTTGACACAAATATAATGAGTTTATCATTTTATCCCTATTAATTGATAGAATTTCAAAATTAATTTACTTATTAAAGAGGTTTACATTTTTCAAAAAACGTTAACTTAAATAGAGGGTATAATAGATTAAATATATTGCATTTTCTTGATTTGTCAAAAATGACAAATAAAAAAGGATAGAAGGAGTATCTCTTAGAGCCATTTTGAATTGACTTAAAAGTTGATCAAACCTACTTTTCAAGTCATTTTTAGTTTTTGGAAATATTTGACAAAGTTAAAAATAACTTAAAATAAGTTAAAAATCAAAAGTATAACTCCCCCTACTTTTTATTTTTTGATTTAAAAGTCATTTAAAGTTTTTGACTTTTTATTTTTTGATTTAAAATCTAATTTTTTTTCAGCTTATCTTTTTCTCTTTTGTTTATAAGGACAATATTATTTGTGGTTTTTACTCATACTATATAAATGTGTTGTAGTTTCTTTGATAAGAAAATAAAATTCAAAATTTAAAACATTATTTGTGTATGACTACTAATTTGGTTAAAAAATTGTTTATGGCCTTTTTGATATAATTTATTAACATGGCAGTTTGACTTCCTCCTTTTGTTTGTCAACCTTTTTTCCCCATAATTTCATTTTTGAAATTGTTTTCTTCACATATTAGATCAATAAAATTGAAAATAATTGAAATTAGGGGTGTACAAAACCGAATCAAACCGTAAATTGAGTCAAATTGGAAAAAAAAAACGATTAGTGGTTTGGTTTGACTTGGTTTGGTATTGGAAAAAAAATCTGACTATATTTGGATTGGTTTGGTTTTAACTAAAAAAAAACCAACCCGAGACCAAACCAACCCGACATTATATATGGTAATTTTTAAAATTTTATTTTATACATAAAAATATTTACTTTGATATAATTTTAAAATATTTCTTATACTATTTCATTATTTTTATCTTTTAATATAT